TCAGTCATTGAATCCCAGCCAGGAATGTGAGTGACTCTGCAGGCAGGCTGGGCTCTTCCAGGAACAAGCCATCACCCCCTACTGCCCTGCACAGAGCGGAGGAGAGGGAGAAGAAGCGAGGGGAGAGAAGGGAGGACGAGTGCTGCGTTCACGTCGTATGGGAAAATGTATCAAACGTTCATTTTAAACTTTCCTACAGTAAAATGTTACTTTACTTGAGTATTTTATTTTTCCGTTTTATGCTGTTTTATGCTTTATACTGAGGGAAATATTGTAGTTTTTACTCTTATGTGACAGCTATAGTTAGTTGGCAGATTAAGTGTTTAGATACAAAGTGTTTATACGAGGACACAAGGTAATTTGTCATATTTTCATTCAAAATAGAAAAAACAAAAGAGGCAGCCGCTACATTCAATGATACATGCATAATAATACATACATGGGGCTGCTGTGGCTCAGAGGCGTGTGAATGTGTATGAATGAGTTATGAATGAATGAGTACATATATAATAGCCTAAAGTTATAAAAGGTCCATTCTGCCTGATGGGTACTTTTACTGTACTGTTTGGCTGTAATTGAGTTGCCTGTTTTTTTACATTGCACTAACATTTCTTAAATGTAATATTTAGATTTTTAATTTAACTTTTTAATAACTATTTTTTAGGTGTATACGTGTATGTATGTCTTTTTATTTATTATTATTATTATTTGATATGTTATTCTAATTTGAAATGTGTACTTTAACTCATGTGGAGTGTCTTTGAGTTATTATAATAAATATACATTTGATTATCTTTTTCTAGGCTAGTGTATAAGGGACGTACTCAGATTACATTTATATTTGGTAGAAATTGGGATTATTTACAGGATTACAATTTTAAAATCAGTTTTTCTTTAAAAATACACTGAGCATTTTCTCTTTCCATTTTCTTTTCTAAGGTCACACTGTTGTGTTATCTCATAGAATGCAGTTACACCAATGCTTCTTAGTGACATTTAAGATTATTTCCCCTTGTTTTTACATATTGGTGTAAATAAAAACAAATAAAGCTTTTACTAATGCTGCATTCATGTATGTCCCAGTTACTGACTATATGAAATCATCATGCAGTTTCCACATGTGATAGCAGGCGACATCGACGTCAGGGTCGCCATTCAGTAGCCGAAACTTAAGGTGAACGGGATTTCCAAACAGGAAGCTTACATTTACCATGGGCCGCGAATGTAGCAGAAGAATAGAGAGAACGGTTCACGACTGTAGCGAGAGAGAGAAAAAGCCCAAAGAGGATGGGTGGTGTCTTGCGAGACAAGACAAATTTAGCTTTGGAAGGGGAAACGCAAATTGCACGACTGACTGCGGTTTATTTATTTCCCTTCTGCTCGAATGTGTTAAAATTGTTTGGCAAGTAGCGGCGAATAAACAAGTTTCATGTGTTGGCGACCTTGAGAGACAATATTGCTAATGAAATGACGAGAGAATCTTCTTTTTGGTTTCTGTTTTTCACAGATCGACTATCAGAAACTGAGGGGCGGTCACATCACTAGCACAGTAAACAACAATAAGTGAAGTCTAGATTTTAGGTTTTTATTTATTCTTTCCACTTTAAACTTGTACACACAAAGTGTAATCTCTCTGCAATGGCAGTTTGTACCGAATATTACACAGTCTGCTCATAGAAATGCACATTAAAGCTTCAGTTACCATTGGATTAGATGTATATTAATAACATTTGCTTGGTGTTTTGTTCAGGGATGAGTAAGTGATGAGTTTTGGGGGCACATTATGTAAAAGTGTAACAGCCCACTTCATTCTGAAATATCCAGAGGAGTTAGAGTTGACTCATCAACCCTACATTAACACTCTAAATCGTATTATAGGGAGTGAAAAAGTTACAGTAGAGGAGAAGTAATGTATTACTCAATAATCTCACCCAGTGGCTCGGCCTCAGGAGGTCATGTGTCCAGAGCAAGTTCAACTCCAGCACTGATGGAGCAGTTTGCTGTTCCTGTGGCGCCTCCTAGCCAAACACTGCTGCAACTGCAACATGATGGCAGGGGCAAGACCTGGAAGGATCCCCCAGTGCAGGCCAGCAGCGTCTGAGGCACAAGTGTAAGATTACATTTATGAATGTACAGATTAAAATACAATATATTCCAATAAAATAGGAATCCAGGGAAGTGGAAGAAAAGCCTTCCTAAGTGGGAGGAGATAAAGAATGCATAACAGTGAGAAAGTGTATTAGGTTCAAAGAGTGCACAAAGGCAGGCAGTAAAGGCTTGGATCAGCAGCCACGTTAGACTGCAACGTGTTTCAAGCTTGGCACTGTTCCTCAGGCAGTGTCAAGAAGTGTATGCTGACGTGTCTATGTATAGAGAAAAAGAGGAAGTAGCACGATAAATATGTCATAAAATAAACCAAATACATGCCAACAATAGGATGCTTCAATTACACAGTGTCTGCAGGCTCTTAAAAAGTCTAAAATCCAATAAGCTTTATACATCCTTTATTTATCCTAAAAATCCCACTGGAATTCTGTTTCCATGACGGAAAAAAACATCTGGTACATTGTTGTTCTATTCTGCTTACATTAATAGATGATCAATAGAGTTTTTTGTTGATTAATTCTAATTCCAATTGCATGGTGTCCTTCAGAAATCCAATAATGTGAATTTTAGGCTGTAACATGTCTTAAATATGACTTGGACAGGGATTAAAAGTCGACTGAATTAATTAAATTAACGTTACTTGTAGAAAGTTGAATTTTTCAGTCTCACTTTTAAAAGGTTTTTTTGGGGGGGAAATTGGTAATAATCATGCTGTAACAACTACAAAACCACATCAACATGGAACCAATACCAATTTTTCTTCATGTCCTTCCCTAATGGACACAGGTTAAATAAACTTAGTTAATGTGCCCTCTTGGATGCCCCTAGAGTAGATAAAACACGATAAAGTGCCCTCCAGGAATCCCTTCCAGTGGAGAAATCATGCTAAAGCTCCCTCTGGGGCAGTGGTTCCCAACCAGGGGGTCGGGGCCCAGACTAGGGGTCACTAAAGCCTCCTAGGGGGTTGTGTGGTCTTTTAAGGTGTTTAGGCCAATATCTCAGCATTTGGTTTCTTCTGTGAAGAAAAGTAAATGTTAAGTAAAATCAGTTGTCTAATAGAACAATGGCCAAGCATCAGGGACAATAAAACTAATAAATAAAAAAATAATTAAAATTAATAAAAAAAGAAGCCTATTAAGTATAAAAAATGATTTTAAAAAAAATACATAAAAATACACAATCAAGACAGAGAATTGTATAGAAAGATCCATGAACAGGAAATAATCTGCTCAGGTGCTTTGGTTCATTGTACAGTTTTGAATATAATATAAAATATCCATAAAAGCAGGGGTTTTCAAGTTAACTAAATGATAGAAAGGGGGCAGACTGAACAATGTCAACACAGTTGGTGTCCTATGGGTGGGGGTGGTGAGTCAACGGTGCCATAGTTTGTGGTTTATGTTCTGCAGTGTTTGTGGTCTTTTGGGTGTGATAATGGGTTTGTCCATGAGAGTGAGTATGATCTGTTTTGTTGTACTGACTGCAAAAACAAATGTCTCGAACATGCTTTTTTGACACGAACGGCTTTACGGCAATTCCACATAAACGCACACGCCGCCCTCAATAACGGTTAGTGTATAATGTATTACCTCGGATAGATCATTGCTCCACACGAAAAAAGTTGCCCGATTTGAAAAAAATGCACATCAGCAGCGGTAGAAAGGGGAGCGAGGGTGCCGAAGTTGACGTTTTTTTACTATTGTTTTGTTAAATACACTCCCATATCTTTATTTATCTCTTCTATAAAACATGCTATTTACCAAAATTTAAAACCAGCTAATAAATATCTAGTATTTTACCTGTGTGCAGGATTTAGTGGCATCTAGTGGGGAAGTTGTTGCATTTGACGACCTGGGAATGTGTAAAAGAAACTACGGTGGCCGCAAAAGGCCCTATGTACAGCCAGTGTTTGGTTTGTCTGTTCTGGGAAGAAACATACACTGTAGAAACATGGTGGTTCAACATGGTGGACTCCATAGCAGAGGATCCGCTCTCTCTGTAGATATAAACAGCTCATTCTAAGGTAACAAAAACACAATGATTCTTATTCAGGTGGTTATAAACAAATGAAAATATACCTATGAATATTATAGTCTATTTCTGACAATAGATCCTCCTAAATGAGCCACATTCCAGCAAAAAAAAACGCCACTCAATTGAGTTTATTACAAAAAATGCCCACTTGTTCACCAAACCCAAAAAATATGTCATGGGAAAGTGCAAGCATCTCACTGCAGAAAGTAAAACGCCTTGTTTCTGGTAAAAAATGTATTAAAAAAAAATCAAAAGAAAGATAATCGTGTCAAACTTGTTTTGCATTAGAAAAGTAATTTGTAAATCTGTAGTAAATGCTACAAATAAAAATGCTACTGGTGCCTTCATTTAAGACAAAGTCACTTGTTTTTATTATGCTAATTGAAGAAATTGTGTCTTATTGTAAGATTTTATTTAGCTAATTATTAAGCTTACATTAAGGTTCAAAGCTCAATAAAGTGAACAAAATACTTATTTTAGGAAAGTCTATCTTAAATAACTGAGTTTTTCTAATTTTCTTCTAATATTAAGGTCCATTACAGTTTTTCAGTGGCTTGATTTTTATGCTAGTTTTAAGAATTCTAGACAAGGTGGTAATGTTTTTATTTTTTTGCTTAATACAAGAAAATTGGATTATATTTAAGGATATTTGTATCTAGGGGGGCTGTTTTTGCAGTGCACCTATAAGTAAAATAGCTTTAGTCAGTTTCAAAAGTGAAAAAGTACAGGGTCTGAAATGCTCTCAAAACAGTAAAACATACTGGCATTTTTACCAGCTGTTTCTGTGCAAAGCCAACTGAAACTTCCAACAGGGTCGGGTCTCCCTCTTCTTCCTATTTTGTCTTTTTCATCATGTTACGTCTGCTATGCGTGATATGCACCAGTTTTGATGCTGAGAAGGTGTGTAGTGCTGGTGAGGTAAAAGTTAAAAGTTTGTACTTTGTGACTTCCCACCTCTGCCACACAGCTACTGCAAAATGTAGTTACACTACTAGTTTAATTAAATGTAGTTCACTACTCCCCAACACTCTTAAGTCAGTATGAGAAAGAATGGACTTCTTTGTGCGCATGAATGAACAATTAAGTGATTTGGAGTTCTGGGACCAATATTTTTAGTTCCAGCTTGAGCTGAAGACAATAACAAAAACACTGTTCATTTCATTCATACAGAACATGTTTTCCAAAATGCAGACCAGGAAAATGTGTGATCTGAAAAACATCTGTAAATGGAGAGCATGCCCCCGGACCCCCCTAGGTTTGGGCTAAACCCTGAATGTGTACAATGTCCGGCTCTGCCCCTGCCTTCAGGGTATCTGGTAATATAGTTGGAAGCTGCACATAAACTGCTGTTTTCAATAAAGCACCGAACGCCCCTAAAAAACACAAACTTATTATATTATATATATATATTATATTTTTATATATATATTATATTTTTAAATTAACAGATTAAACAAAACAAAACACAATGTGTTCATTGGTGAGCTTTAGAGTCGTTGGTAGGTGTACTTTTGAACTTGGGACGGAGCCAGGCTAGTTCCCCCTGCTTTCAGTCTTTATGCTAAGCTAGGCTAACCACATCCTTACTCCAGCTCTGTACTACACACAGACATGAGGCTTCTCATCTCACTCTGTGAAAAGCTAATAAGTCTTTTATTTACCAATTGTTGAGCAACTTTTATTTCTAGAGTTCACATAAACTGCATCACATCATCATCATCATCATCATCATCGGCATGGTCAGTGATGGTTCCAGTGTTGGAGCCACAGGGTTGGACTCGATCCCACTCAGCTGGCAGATACTGTGAGTGACCTTTTCTGAGGGGGACCGGAGCCTCCGCTGGGCTTATCAGTCTGGCATGAAGCCATCCTTTCAGCCAGCACTGAGCTCTGGCAGCTACAGTCTGGATGTGGGCCTACAGTACCACACTGGCATACTGCATCACTGTCTGTGTGTACATCAAGTGGTAAAGGATACAAGCGAGATACAAAGCTTGTGTTTCCTTCAGGCTTCTCATCATATCAAGGCCAAAGCTGCTAGACAGTATGGAGTGTATGCCAAGCCTTGTTTTCAATGATTCATAATGTTGCCAGCATGCACTGCTTGTCTTCCTGCTCTCATCCCCCCCCCAAGAGCTCATCTGTGCTCATCATGTATGTGCATACTTCTTTATTTGTTATCCAATTATCCAATTTTGACCAATCACGACATTCACCTGTTAATCAATCTTCAACTTTTAGCTGTACAGAGCTTAGATTTCTTAGTTAGCTAGCTAGCAACAGTGTTTCTTGGGGCGGAGTCTCACTTTTTACTGTACAAAAACACAACTTTATCAGCGAATTGGATAAAACTGGATCATATTTTATGGAGAAAACATTGTCTGGTTTTCCCTCTGATGTCCTGCATAGCTGCCATTAACATGCAAGGGAACGGGGCTCAGCAGCCTCCAAGTGAACATAGCCAGACCAGGACCAAGCCTCTGAATCAGATGGAGGCCAATTTGATGACAGCGGTACAGAGGTAATTTATGGAGTCTCCTGCACTTGTTGGTAAAAGTGGCTAACTGCTGGTAATGGCAGCACCAGGATGCCAGGAGCCAAACCAGGCCAAAAACACACATTCAGTATTATTGGCTATCAAGACTCTGCACATGCAGCATTCAAACATCACACTGCAGGGACAAGAAGAAAAACACTTTGAGTGGAGGGGACTTTAAAGGCCAGTCTTCATTTAGCAGGAACACCTGAATGGTTTGTGTTAATGTTCTCATCACTCCATGGAGTGTTGGAGTTGACCGATGGTATAACCTCCTGAACACTTGGTGTATTTCTTCAAGTTAAACGGTTAAGGCTGCTGCTACCTCACTTTGACTCTCCTCATCATCTTCGCCGTCGCCATGGCAGCAGAACACAACACAGCATCACGTGTGACAGATGACATAACGTTTCTTTCCAGGCGCCGGATTGCTTTTTCCCAGAGTAGCACTATGTACCACAGGTCTGGCCCACTGCTCTGCTTTTGTGTTTCTTCCCCTCTGTGGTCGAAGGAGAAAAAAAACTTGATTGGCCAATGTCAGCATTTCAGGAGCAGTCCTTCTGGAATACTCATCTTATGGGGCACTGTTTCCAAAAAATGCTCTCACCTTATTTCAAAGTGGCAGGTTTTCCCATAGTGCTGTTTTCCATTCTTTTAAATAATGCTCTCCTCTTTCCTTTCTTTTCTTTTCCTTCCGTTCAGTCCAGCTTTCCCTTGTCTTTTTCCATTGCATAATTGTAGCCACTCTCCGTTGGTCCCTCTCTTCTGGCCAAAAGCTTAAAAGGCTCAGAAAGTCCCACCATTATTATGACTTCAACTTTCCACTTTATGTGTGTCCTAGCAGAGGGAACACAGTATTATCATTACAGTTAGCATTCTCATATGATGTAACCTTCAGTGTCAGTGTGCACTGAGTAGAACTCAGTGCAAAAGTGACATAATATCTTGTGTATGAAAAGTCAGGGGCGATACAATCAGACAGTGGAGCGCTATCATGTCGTTTCATCCTGTTTGCTGTTTCGCATTTAGAGAGAATCTTGCACTCTAATGAACTTAAACCATCCGTAATTTTTCCGCTACTTACAAGATGGTGTAAGGTGGTGGTTAAACAAGGTAGTCCAGATGTCCATCTCTCCATCAACATCTTTGACGAAACAACACAAACTTCTTGTTTATATTACTTCCATAGCCGGCTGTGTAGACATTGGGGCAGCAGTAACTCAGTCAGTAGGGACTTGGTTTGGGAATTGGAGGGATTCTGGTTAAAGTCAAGCAGTGGGGCACTGACCTATGCAGGGGTGCCAAGAAGTATGTGTCTCAGCTTTCCAGTCACTCCTAATTTATACACTATAAACACTGTTTATGCACCCCAGTGTGCAGAAATATTCAAATACTATTTATGCAAAAAACGGCATGGTTTTTGCCCAAAATTGCATGGGATTAGCATAAAGTGGGTATTTCTACAAAAGGGAGACATGTGGGTAGCCATAGAACCCATTTTCACTCATATCTTGAGGTCAGAGGTCAAGGGATCCCTTTGAAAATGTCTTTGCCATTTTTTCCATCACCAACATTTAGCTTAACTTTGGAGCAATATTTAGCTCCCTTCCCAACATGCTACCATGACATGGTTGGTGCTGAAGGATGCGTTAGGTCCTCTAGTTTCATATGATACCAGTATCTTCTATCTACCACAGCCTCTGAAAGATAAAATAGTAAGGAGGAGTAATAAGATGGCACAGAAAATACTATTTTCCTCCCTTAACACTGGATTCAGGTTTTTTCACATTCCTGATAACACTGATTATTTTCAGCAACATTTTTAAAGAAAGCTGCAGGACAATAATTTTCAATTCCCTACTATAATTTTAAAATGACTTATTTGTAGGTCAGATTCTGTTTAGCAGCATAGTCAATCCATTTGCAACTGCAACTGCAACTGCGTCATTGCCTTTTAAAATCCCATTCAGAACAAGCTTTTATTATTATTATTAGCTTTTTATGGAGCTTTTAATCACCTCTATCTCTTGATTTATTATTTTGCTCAGTTTTCATGGAGATAGCTCATTTGCATTGATGCATCTGATGCTTGTCAGTTAAGAACAAAAGGTAAATGTGTCTTTTTTAAATTCAAACTACCAAGGTCAAGTATGAACCTTGACACTCCTAAAGTTCTTTTAAGTGTATTAAATGGCTGTCACACAGCAGCAGGTAGCCATGTGCACTGCACATAATTATTCATAATTAAGCACAGGGGATAGGTTTTTCCTGGATAATCAAAATAAATTACACGTCCACTGGATTATTATGGTGACTTCTAAGTGAATCTTCCATGTTGTTTTTGTCTTTACTACATTTTTAAAGAGTATTTACAGCAGTGGCATTATTGTGCAAATGTTAATGTACCCAAACAAGACTGAATGCATCATTTTGAAAGTTAAAAATTGAATATGCAACAGATAGTAATAATGCATGCCTAACTGCATGTGATGTAACTCTTCTCAAACAGGTTTGTGCACATCAGCGAGCTCTGGCAGGGGGTTCCAGAGTTTTTCTTTGGAGAGCAGTTTCAGATCTGGGTTTGGGTAGCACCCGGGCTTACCAGCACTGCAACATTTAGTTTTACTTATAGCATACATCATAAAATGTATTGTCAAACAAATAAAGATTTGTCATCCGATTAGCCTGAAATGTTGTAAAAGTAAATGTTGATGTTAGACACTTTTTAAAATTATTATGAATTCATGTATTGCATATAAATTTCTTGCTCACATGTAATTTACAATGTATGAATTTAGGTTGTAACCTAAACCTCTTAGTTACTCCCATGTAAGATGAGCTAGATTAGTTAGAAGAGTTACTTATTAGCATTAACTCTGATAATAAGTCAGGTAAAGCAATATTTTAGTAGTTTTAGGAAACGTACAGTACAGTTTTAAGAATGACCTACTGCAGCTTTAATAATCACCTGTCACGTCACACCACGTTAACCAGTGTTTGCATATTAAACATAAGCAAACTATATTTACATGTTCACATTATATTTTCATAGATTTAATGACTTTTTACCTTTACTTCTTTGTGTGTGCCTACGCGCATGCGCGGGAGAAGAAAACTTTCTGATAGAATCAAGTGACGTACGGTTTCAGGAAGGAGGAAGTCCCTGGTACTCGCACTAGCGCGAATTTTCGAAGCTGTTGTGAAAAGTAATTTACTGAAATGGCTGAAAATCATTCAAAGTGTAAACTGAAACGAAAGAAATCCTCTGTAGAAGATCTCCAGCCGGAACTCTCCTCCAGGGGACCGCTGAACAACAGTTGTACCACCATGTTCTCCGGGGCAGCTGGGAGGTGGGTGTTCGCTTTACCGCCAATGTTTGACTGAAGAGGATCTTAACGTCCTGTTCAAAGCTGGATTATTAAGTTCGATTTTTGGTTTCCATACAGTTCGTTTAGTAAAGCATTTCCCTGGTGGGAAAATGAGCCGACAAAGGAAAGCTCGAACCTCCATTAAAACCTCAAGAGTTTAATGTTTTCTTTTGCACCAGCTGAAGTAACGTTACATGATGGACAGGTACTTTACCGACAAGTGACATCTTTAGATAGGAAGCGAAACCTTTCACAACTGCTTCACACTGTTAGTTTACAACGTTGCACTTTGGTCTAAGTATTGATTTGCCGAATGACACATCTTAATCTCTTGAATATTAACACAAGTGTTCCCGTTCCCCTAACAGCCACGGAATAGATAGAACATGAAATAGTCTCTATAAAGGGGTTTGGTGTTCTGTGAAATTGTGTACAGGCTACAGCTGATTTGTACCCCCCCCCCCCAAACAAAAAAGGAAAGAAAAAGAATAAATAAAGATGAAAGGTTTAACTATGATTTACTGGAAATAGTATTTGTAAAATAGTGTTGTTCAGGACTGTGAGAGGTTGATAACCAGTGACAGTGATCAACATTATGGCTGTGTGAACAGTCCACTTCATTTACCTGTTGTTTATTGTACACAAGCAATCTTGCAAACAAATGAGCTAAAGAGAGTGAGCTTGGAGTTGTTTTGTAATATTGATATTAAGCACATTATTATTCAAAATGGACACCAAGAAGTTTGATTTTTTTTTCAAAATCAAGGAAACAAAGTGGAGAAAATAAAAGCCTCAGTAATAGAATTCAGCTCCTAACTGACACAGTGCCGTCGGAAATGGAACAGCCTAAGCTTAATAAGGTAAGATTGAGCTGTTGTATTACATTGCACAGGTGCACGTGGGAGCACACTGGTAGATGAAATGAAAACACAGGAAAGACACCAAATTTGACAGACTGCATGGTGGAAGGAAATACTCATATAAGTGGTCTGAGAGCCATTATGCACCTGTATATCACACAATTTCATACAGCTATTTCAAAGAAATCACCTTCTTTCTTAAAATGCAAGCATATCTTAATTTAGCCTTTACTATTTTAATATATGCAGGGTAGGATCTACAGTTCTCTCTCTGACTTTGTTATTTACACAAGCAGACACTGTGCACCAGATCAAAGAGCAGTTTCATAAATAATTTGATTGACAGATTAAAAATGCATACAACATAATTAAAAAAAAGAGAAAAAAGCCAAAATGAAAACGTCATCATACCCTTTGTCCTCTATCGGGTAGTCGAAGATTAAATCCAGTTTTCATACATCTGGAAACTTAAGAGACTGCAAAAAGCTGCTATAATGCATTCAGAAACACGCTGGATGAGGGGTTTGCAAAGATAAGGCAGGAGTTTCAATAGAGAAGACAGTGGTAGTTGTGTGGAACAGACAGTGTGTAATATCTGCTTTCAGGTCAGTGGTTGCTGCAGCAGTGTGGTGGAACAGACAGCAGCTGCCTGCTGTGGAGAGTCTGTGGGCATTGACACTGAAGGCTGCTCTGGAGAACCAGCACTGGGACATGGTTCCTGATCTTCCACACCCATCCACAGTGGTATGTTACCGCAGAGTGTTCCTCCATTGCACAGTTCCTGTAGTGAATGACGTTGACCTCACAGCAAGACTCACATCAACAAGCAAAAGTTCTAAATGTTCAAAGTTCAGATGCTTAAAAATGTTGAGGTGTAGATCAGGACTACAGCTTTTTTCTAGTAATTTCTCTTCTCTAACAAAAACAGTATTCATTAACCAGTTATTTCCACTGGCTTCCATGGATAATTGCTATTGATAACTCAACCCTTCCTGCACACATGTTTCACATTAAAAGTCCTCCAGTGGATAAATAGGCATAAACCATCCCATTTGCTGTAGTCTTTGAACATTTTCATATGAAAAATCTGCTGTAAGTGTTGCGTTTCATTCACTTAGCTTTACAGCAAGGACACAAAATGGCAAAGTGAAACAGATTGAAAGTAATTACTGATGGTGAGTAGGACATGACTGTCATACTGATGGAATTAGTGGAAATGTTGACCACACTCCATCTAAAGTTGTCTAAACGTGACCGGAATATAAAGTCTGAGGAGACCGAACTGGATACATTTAGCGTGTTTTAGCTCATTAACTGTATTTTTGTCAATGTTACCTTATTGGTGCGTGGTGGTGCAAACTTAAGGAAACCCCCCCTACAAAACACACATTATGGTTTCCACAACATTAATGTCTGGTTATTGTTCTGGATTTGATTTTGTGACTACAAAGCTCATGAATGTAGTGTATGCACCACCAGTGCAAATAGTCCTCACTAATAACTGCTTTACCATGCACCAAAATAACAGCTACGACACAAAAGGTGATACAATGTTCACTGTGATGGATCTGTATGATGTAAGCTGTAAGTATGCATCATTTGTTCATTTTCATAAAACCTCTGGTACAGTACTTTAAAATAGGATAGACTGATGATACATCACTTTCTTTGTGTGCTGTAACAGGTTCCTTTTTTTCCACACAAACCAGGATGAGTCCTTGTCCTTTTTTAAGCTATAAACTTAATCATCTGTCTTAAGTTGTATAAGGGCTCTCCCTCATCTGTTTCTCTTTTATATGTCACTTTAGAGACCCACAGCACTAAGGTTAGATGACCTGCGGTGGTGTGACCTCAGTGAAGAGGTTCTTCCTTTCCCCATACCCTCTCCACCTCCTCGGAGGACTTCGTCGAGTCCAGATCCTCTCAGGCTCAGCTTCTCCCAGCAGGACCTTTCAGTAAAGACCAAACCTGTACCAGACCCACCTGACAGACGGCCGTCCTTTCACAGCAAGCACAGTCATAATGGCAAGACAACATCCCTTCAAGCCCTCACAGAAAAATCACCCTTCCACAGCTGGGAGGGGGAGGCATCACCAGTGGGACCCTCAAGTGTTAGGGGTGGACAGCAAGACAAAGAGACTGGACCAGTCAACAGACAGCTTCTCACAGACCAGGTGACGGTGTCTGACAGGCGAGTTCCTCTGCAGAAGAAGTATAAAAAAAAAGAGGAGGTGGATAGAGAAGCAGGAGGAGGAGGAGGAGGAGGAGGAGGAGGGCTGAAGAGCTGCCCGATGTGCCTGCAGGAGTTCCCTGTTGGGTAAGAGATGAAACACATTTCTTTGAACTCAGGCTCATTGTTCAGCTCCCTTTCACTTCCATCTACTTCCATTCATATTGTGCTCCCACTGCACTCACTGTGGGGCAACTAAGAATAGAAAGACGTGTGGTGTTATAGTTGACCAAAGACAAACATCTCTCCAGGTCTATGCAGATACAGTGAGGATGATAGAGAACTTAGCTATAGAGACCTGGTCCTTCTGACCATAAAGAAAACACGGTCTCACACAGTGACATTCCTCACTACTTCCTACCTACTGCTAATGCTACTGCTAATCCAGATCCTTTGGCTGCCTCCAATGGTCACATGGCTTACTGTGGCTCAGGAGGCCGAGCGGGTTGTCCACTAATCAGAAGGTTGATTCTCCCGCAGCATGTTCAAGTGTCCTTGAGCAAGATACTGAACCCCAAATTGCTCCTGATGCCAAAGTTTGTGTTTGTTATGGTCATCATTGTATGAATGTGTTTGGATGGGACGATGTGACATGTACACTACAAAACCACTTTATCCAGTTTTGAAAAAAAAAGATAATTAGCTTAACCAACTAGTATTTCTGGTGTTGAATAGTGAGATTAGTTATGTGAAACTGTCAAGTTGACTAATCACGCACATCCCTAATTGAAATTGAGTATTAGGGCCAATCCGAGCATATTTTGATGGATGGTATGGGCTAAAACAAAGCCGATCAGAATCTCTTTACCCTCTCTTTACCCTCTCTTCCTGGATGGTTTCTTTTCTTTAGCTGTGATTTGTTGCAGCGCTGCTGTCTTTAACCGCAGCCTGCAGCTCTGACTATGAGTGAACAGTCCTCTCTTTGTGCTTCTGTCGGTCCGGTCCTCGTCTGACCCGGTTGCTCTTGAACCAGGTTTAAGAGCTGGGCTGTGTTGCTCTGCAGGTCTCCTACAGAAACAATGTTTACCTCTGTGTGAATGAACACAGAGGACGGCTGACCTCTCTTTTATATGTACCCACTCAAGTGTCCTATTCAAATAACTGCAGCTTTTCTATTATGAAGTATTGTAAATATTAGTTACTAGAGGTGGAGAGATTTACTGGTGCAAGTCAGAAATCAGTTTTAATGTTAATTAAATACGATAAATCTTAACACTGTCTGTGGATGCTAATACAGCTAGCAGGAGCAAGATTAGCAAGACACGGATATGAAACACTTTCCAGCCACAACTTAACTCCAATTGGGCGAGGTCTACGGTAATAACAGCAGAAACTCTTTTTGTCTGTCTGTTGGAAATGCAGTGAACACAATGACATGTAATCCTGAAATGAGACATTTGTCTTTCATTTTTTTCTTTAAAAAAAAAAAAATACTAAAAAAAAAAAATACTTGGGATTCCTGTGGTATTTTATACTATATATAATATAATATCTATTATATATATATAATTATATATATATATATATATCTATATATATATATATATATATATATATATATAATATATATATATGATATATATATATACCTATATATATATATATTATTCATATATAGGAGATATATATTATTATAATATATATATATATATAGATATATTGTGATATTGTAAGCAGAATGCAACACAAAACAACCAGTGCCACAAATCTTTGCATGTATACCATTAATTAAAAATAATTGATATTGTTTTAAGAATTAAGTGAGTATTGCAAAATATGCAGTTTTCTTTTACTCTGATGTAAAGTTCTTTAAGGCAGAGACAGAATCAGACAAAGGTTTAAACCCTCAACAATGACCGAAATGTAGTTGTAGTTGATGACAATATGTAAATATTGTCATCTTCCTAATAAATGCCTAATAAATTGGAATTTCAAGTATGAGTTTTGATAAACACGGACTGTATGTATCATTCTGTAAAAGTGTGTTCACTGTCAGTCCCAACAGTGGATCTGCTTGTTCATGTCTCTGCAGGTTCACCCAGATGGACTGTGACGGCCACCTGGCCCAGTGTCTGTCGGAGGTCAATGTGGATGTGACCTGGTGAGCCGACAGGATGCTGGCGGCTGTCCAGGAGCTGGGAGGAGCCCAGATGCCACACACTCCAGGTTCATTTCGTACAGAGAGGGACACACCCAGAGAGCAGCTCGTACAGAGAGGGGGACTCCAGACACTGAGCAAACCAGGATGTCCAACGTGGATGTCATGGAAGAACAACTCTGATGGCTCCCCTCAGAGGAACCCTACTGTCATATTTCAATTTAGACACTGTGCTTGAGCCTCTTGGCCTCTGATGTGTTTGATTCCAGCTGGTCAAGAGGATCCCCAAACTAAAATGACAATCCAACCTGCCTTGTCCTCTGAGAGACCAAAATGGAACCAGGCCACATCCTCCTCACAAACTCTCAGACAACTGTACACAAATATCAACTGACTCATTTGAACACAAATTGCACCCGGCCTGGATGTTACCAACATCAGTGGAATTGTTAATGATGATATGATCACATTGTGTTACCTTTTTACTACATTCTGAGTCATTGGAGTTCCACATGTAACAGTGGAATTAATTCAAACAGTGATTTTGCAGGTATTTGTTTTCTCCAGCCCTTTTAGAGACTACAGGATCCTCTTGCAGGGTTCCTGAAAAATTTGGAAGGTGTGAAAATATAGAGACTAGTTTTCCAGTCATGGAAAAGCAATGTTAATTGTCCGTGCAATGGACACTTTTTAAAAGAATCTTTTCTTTTAAATAAAACAATTTCTGCTTGACTTGAACTTTATTGGGCTGTGGCTAAATGAATGTTTATAATTAGTGGTAAACTGTAGAGCAAGAGCAACTGCCAAGCAGGCTGTGATAGCAAGCTAACGTGACAACCAAACACTCTGACCACCTACCTGTAATGAACCTAAAACACTTCATCATGAACCCTGCATCATTGAAAACAGAGGAATAAACCTGGAGTCAACACCAGGTCTACAGCAGCTGCTCAATTATCCTAATGTCCAATTTAAGTGGCAGTACTGATTCTACAGGAGTGTGAGAAGCGGTTCCGAACTGCACCAGGGCGTTTCCAGACTTTGTTGACTGGGGAGGCACAAGAAGGGCACTGATATATACTTGAATACACTCGGCCATAATAACACATTCATACCACATGCAAAAAACTGCATGGGATTAGCATAAAGTGTCTGCAAAGGGAGAGAGAAAAAAGTGTTGGTCGTTCATCAGATATACGGTGAGTTAATCACAGACTCATTACACTGTTAATCATCTATTGCACATGTGTCTTTAACTAAACCCTCACTGAGGCAGGTGGCGTCAGGTGCAAGTTCATTTAATATTTATAGACCACAGCTGCGCAGGATACAAATTTTCTATGCTCAGTATCTTTTATGAATCAGATGTAAGCCCACCATCAGGAATGATCTTAAGAGCATAAATCTAAGAACAATTTTATACATGAGACCTCCGTTCACATCTGGCAACCTGTGCTATAGCCGGAGGCACTGCACCGAAATGGGTGGATGGATACACTGTCAGTGTAGTATAGTATAGTATAGTATAATAGTATAGTTCCAGCACAAAACACGCCTTTGTTTTATGGACTTCCTTCAAGTGCTTGGCGAGGTGCATTATTTTGCACGAGGGATGGTAAATGAATGTGCACACTGGCTTTAATACATGCACTGTGGAGCGAGACTGAGCTGACGAAATCTTTTGATTGTTAATTGCCTTTTCCAGTCTCCCAGTATGGGGGCAGTAAATGGTGATCAGAGGAAGTGCTGGTGTGTAAGGCCAGGCCACACACACACACACACACACACACACACAAAAATTGCATCTGCAAAGATTTTTCTGCTGTAGTCTGCAAAAAGGATGGACTCAGATCACGGAAAACCAGTATCATTTTTAATAATTACACATATTTACACAAATGCGATGAGGCAAAATTAAGCATATCCAACCAGCATTATGTTAGAAAAAAATGTGTGGAGTAAGTTCATTACTTTTTAGATGGAGATTCTTTTTCTTTTGGATGTCTCAATGGCCTTCACTGTTCTGCAATGTGGTTCAAGGACTCCCAGTTCATCCATTGGTCCCTCAAGAAAATAAAAATGCCACTAATGTATCACCTGGAGTGCAAATAGATCAACAAAACATAAAATGCAGCAAATGAGATGGAGTCGGGGAGGATGAAGCTTCCCCGGATGTGATTTCTTCGATTTCGTTGTGTGTGTGTGTGTGTTCATTGTGGCGGGCTAATCAGTGACCGTGGAACTGCTTCATTATCTCTCCTCTCTTTATCTGTTTTCTCCCTGCTTCTAAAGGCCCTTCAGCTAATTGAGACCCTTTGACTCAGGATCAGCTAATTAATCCTATTATGTGCTTATCAAATTAGCACGGGTCAGATTTCATCAAATAAATCTCAGCCAGTGGAGACAGAGATCAACACAGAGCTCATTTTGGAGGCGAGGAGTTCTTTCTGTCTGTGACTTTAATCTGTGCTCGTAGTTGATATTCCGATGTGTTGTGCATGTGTTTGATTTTATCCCAGCCTTTGAATAGCAAGGCTCTAAAATTTAGTTAAAAATATGTTGCTCTTTGTGTATAAAGGTGGCAGTGTATGAAGTTAAAGTTGCATGAACTAGAAACGGCCTAAAAGGTCACTGTATACAAATAAACATGGCTTCTTATTGTTTGTGTACACACTGCACCAGCGGCTGGGGAAATGGAAATTAGGATGTGGTATCCCTTCGATGGATCGTAGCGGTGTGGAGATGAGCTGACAGCGTGGCAAGCTGAGCCTCCGAATCACTGCTGTGAGAGAGCTGACCACCATGTGTTGGGCTGGCTTTACACTGAGCAACTGCAGGTTAAACTCATCAGAACATTCAAGTGACACAAACACAACTCCTGATTAGGACTGGCTAATTAATCTGAAGTTGAAAAATTTTAAATTTTTCTGGCCAAATGCTTTAGCAGGGTTTCTGCTGAGCATTTCAAAAAGGTTAAAGCTAAGCACTTTAAAAGACCCAGTATGAATTGGAATTCTAGAAAACCTATTCACGTCCTACACCTTACTACTAACAAAAAAAGAAGAAGGAAAATCAGCATTGGTTCCATGACAGTTTCGTTGTTGTAGTTGTAGACTGAAAAATGCAAGTAATGTTAACTTTGTAACATTTAATATAGCAATTTTGAAGACCTGTCAAAATCATATTTAAGACATTTTAAAGCTGCAGTGACTTTTATGAAATAACTTTTCGTCATTCACTGAAACTTTCACTATATCCTGAGAGTAGAACATGGGACAGATAATCAGTGAAATAATCAGGTTCCTCTGGCTCCTCTTAGTGCTGCTAATGGGATTTACAAGAATCCACCGGGCCTAAAAGAAAACAACCAATCAGAGAACAGGAAAAATAATTGATAGTCTCATTTGGTGCCAGATTTTGCTTTCTTCAATAGTCAATGCTACGGATGCATTTTGCTCAGTCCAAAATTAGGTGTCCCACTTATTAATAAGTGGGACACTGACTCGTAGAACCCATTTTAGATATCCTGACTTCAGAGTTCATGGGACCTCTTTGAAAAAATTCCATGCCTGTTTGTCCATGGCTAAAATTTAGCCTACCTTTGGAGCGTTATTTAGTATTTGGTACCAATGGATGCGTCAGGTCATCTAGTTTCATATACCAGCATCTTCACCCTAGCTTTAAAGCTGAGCCCACTACAGCGTCAGTGCGAGTGAAAGAGGGAAGGATAATGTGTCCCCCCTCTCTGGAAACGCCCCTGCTGTACAAGCACAGGACTGCAAAGACACAGGGAAGGTATGAAATTTAGGTCATGGGGCCACACGGATGCGGAGAGTACAATTTTGCAGGTAGTGTTATTAGAGTTTTTTCCTGGACCCAGGGGCATTTACCTGGCTAGTTCAGGGACCGGTACGTAAAGGGGGGCACGGGTCAACCGCAAAACACCACACCTAATGTGAAAACTGTCAACGGAACAAAAAAGGTTAAATGAAGTATTTAGTTGAATGGGTCACATTTACAACTGTGTCACATATAACAAATGTTTGAAGTAGCAGCATTAAAATCAAACAAAAACAAAATGTTTGACTGCGATGACACGTCCTGATATTAAACTGCATATCTGCTCAGAATGAACATGTCCCCTAACAGGAGACGTTTTCTATTTCACATCTTTTGGTTTCTTGATGCTGAATGGTGTGGTCCGTTCTTCAGCACCACTGCTAACAATATGCTGTCTGTCCTTTGCTTGTACACTACAATCTCCTGTGCATGTGTTTACATTGTGTCTCTGTGTCTCTGCTGTCCATCACACAAACACGCCCGCCCGCTCAGAGGCTAGCAGAGCAATTCAGATGGATCTCTGAACACCTTCTTTTATTCCTTTTACAAATAAAACAATAAACGGCTGCACATATTATGATTGCAATATGATTCGTGATTAGTAGGAGTGATTATTTTTACATCACAATTTTCATTTTCACTGAATGAAAGAGAAGACCAATTTGGAGGATTATTCCAGGGTGCATGGTGGGCTCCCCCCGCCTGGCGGTTTTCGAATACTGGGTATCTGAAATACTGTAAATTGGAAATGGTATGGCAGTATAGATGCAAACCCTTCAGTTTACTTTCAAAACCACGCCAATATCTTTAGAAATCTTGCTTAATTTAAAACAGGTCCCGTCTGCCATGTACACATTAAACGCAAATATAAATTTATTAAAGTTTGAGTCAACGTGAGTCGTCCTTGACCCTATAAGCCTCAAGTAATCAATCCTAAAATAAATTTAGTATTAGACGCTCCTGCCTTACAAGTCAAATTCAGTCTTCTTGCGTCCCTAAAAATATTCCAAAAAGAATGTATCAACATCGGCCAATACTATTGAAAAATGAAATAATCGAACTTTTCTGAAATAAAACATGATCATCCCAAGCAAATGAAACCCTCTCTCATTTCAAAAAGGTAAATAGTATTAACTATTAGGTTTTCTTTCTCCTCATGTGCCTCCTTGCACCTCTGGTGA